TAACCTGACCTAACAAACCGGTAACAAAAGAGTGAAGTGAAGAGCGACACCTTTACTTCCTTACCTGACCTCTATAATATTCTCACCTGTCGCTAACTCTCCCACGCCTCAGGTAGAACTACAACTCATACCAGAAACTATTTAATTAACACAATACAAAATTCTAATTAACTAACTAACTAACCACGACACACTACTCCTTAAAGTTAGATAATAATAATTCTACAACAACTTTAAGAATATTTTTAGCAAGGTAATTCATTAGGGTTAATTACCAGGTATTAGGTAAGATATAAGATACCCTTTTCTCTTTTTCTTAACACGGCTGAAGGAGCAAGGTTGAGGGGCTAGAGTGACAGGTTATACAGGGTGGAGGAGGAAGGTTAATGGAGAACAGGAAGAACTACTGATGAAGAACAGGAAGGGGTACTGATGAAGAACAGGAAGGGGTACTGATGAAGAACAGGAGGAACTACTGATGAAGAACAGGAGGAACTACTGATGAAGAACAGGAGGAACTACTGATGAAGAACAGGAGGAACTACTGATGAAGAACAGGAGGAACTACTGATGAAGAACAGGAGGAACTACTGATGAAGAACAGGAAGAACTACTGATGAAGAACAGGAAGGGGTACTGATGGAGAACAGGAAGAACTACTGATGAAGAACAGGAAGAACTACTGATGAAGAACAGGAAGGGGTACTGATGAAGAACAGGAGGAACTACTGATGAAGAACAGGAAGAACTACTGATGAAGAACAGGAGGAACTACTGATGAAGAACAGGAAGAACTACTGATGAAGAACAGGAAGGGGTACTGATGAAGAACAGGAAGAACTACTGATGAAGAACAGGAAGGGGTACTGATGAAGAACAGGAGGAACTACTGATGAAGAACAGGAAGAACTACTGATGAAGAACAGGAGGAACTACTGATGAAGAACAGGAAGAAGTATTGATGAAAAAGGAAGAGAAGAAGGAGATAAATAAGAAGCACAAGAAGAGAAAGAATAACAACACTGACTATAACCACCACCATAACAACCACAATAACTACCCCAACCACAACAACCATCACCCCTAACCACAACAACCATCAACCACAACCATGAACCCAACTACAACCACCTCAACCAACAGCAAGAATCCCGTCACCACACTCAACCAAACACCAGAAGATTTATTGTCGTGTGTGTGTGTGTGTGTGTGTGTGTGTGTGTGTGTGTGTGTGTAAAAGAGCTCAGCAGGTTAGGTCAAGGCAGGCCACACTCTACCACAGGAATATAATATGGCTAGAATAATTATACCAAGTCACTATAAATTATTAATATACATTATACACCTATCAAGTATGAACCAGTCAGTGTATTAGTATGTAGGTCCGGAGATGACTCAGTGTATGTATGTATGTATGTATGTATGTATGTATGTATGTACAGTATAGTTGATAAAAGATGTTAGTAGGTAAGGATGATTGTTTAACCCTCTGAGGACGTTGTTTTAGTACACACACACACACACACACATACACACACACACACAGACACACACACACGAGAGAGAGATACGACGACACGATTCTACAGCGGATTATAGTGTTACAGTGTGCCTGCTTGGTGTTAAAGACGCATCATACCTGGGCAGGTGTCTACAAGGAGCCTCGAGAATACTGTGCGTTTTATGCTGTGTTGTGAAAGTTCCTCGTGATGTTGCCAACTAAACAAAAGAAATTAATATTGTTTACCTTGTTTACTTTGGTTGTCTTTCCTTCAAGGTACTGCAAACAATGGATAAGCGTAAAAACTATTAAAACAAATTGCCTTTTCTACCTGTCTTGTGAAAGTTCTTCAGGGTGTTGCAAACAAACAAAAATATTCTTCTTCTATTTTCTAAGGATTTTGTAGTTGTTACAAATAGATACATTAATACTGATCTTGTTTACATTGTAGGAACTCCTTCTCGCTGCTACAAACCAAACGAAAATATTTATCTTCCATACAATAAAAAAAAAAATAATATTATGTTATTTTCTTACAAACTCCTTCAGGTTTGCCAAGCATTAACGGTACTCACTATTGTGATCGTCAGTGAGCGTCATGTCATTCAAGAACACACACACACACACACACACACACACACACACACACACACACACACACACACACACACACACACACACACACACACACACACACACACACACACACACACACACACACACACACATACACACACACACACACACACACACACACACTCACACACACACACACACATACACACACACACACACACACACACACACACACACACACACACACACACACACACACACACACACACACACACACACACACACACACACACACACACACACACACACACACACACACACACACACACAAGACTAAGACCAGGAGCTTATCTGGTATCCTATGTTTGTGTATTATTAAACTTAAAAATACAATTCCGTAAGTTGTTTTACACGATGGAAATTCACAGTCATAAAATCATCAAATTCGTTGTTGTTTTTTCTTCTGTCGAGGATCTTCATCGCATCTCCTCATGTGACCTATAAACTGCGGTGGTTGTGAAAGCATTCAAGTTCTGATGGTGGAGTTGAACTCCGTATACGAGACATCACAACCTACAGTACATCATCTTGAGAATGTCCATGTTAATTTTAAACCTCAGGATCAACTTCATGTAACATTGAATATGGGAACTACATCAATTTTCATCTAAAAAAAATATATATATACGAGGAAATTGTAAAATTAGTTTCACTTTCATCTGTCTGTCCTTAAAGCTGAGACAAAACTCGCCAGTAATGACAAGTTTCACCTTCTAGACCAATTCGGTATTTTTTTCCGGTTCCGCTTTCGTGACTTGATCTCTAGAATGTAGGTTAGAATCCGAGAATGACTTACAAGTAATGACTTCATCGTGACGACGGGAAGTTGACTTATGACGGTGGAGGGTGAAGGAGGAGTTCTGACTCATTTAACAGAGTTACCACGTCAGGGCAAGATTATATTAGTACAAGTTAAAGTGAAGACATTATGGTTGACGTCTTAGGCTTTAGGTGAGGGTGAACTGTGTGTGTGTGTCTCTCTCTCTTGTCGGGATATGTTTCTTAAAGTGCAAAGATCGATAATAAACATCAAGATTATGTAGATAAGTCGTAAAATCTCCTGTAGATAAAACCACACACACACACACACACACACACACACACACACACACCTGCATTCTCTGCTATTGAACTACACGTACAAGGACACACCTGCAGTCTCCCACACCTCCATAACGGACAGACATTACGTGTTTCCCAGCTCACACACCATGACACACCCCCTCCTACACACCTGACCGCTGCCAAGGTCGTGAAGGATATCATTATCAACACGAAGGACATATCAAGAAAAAAGTTCCTTTAATTAATATAGGATCCTTATGAGATTGGTACAGGGCGTCGTGTGTGTGTGTGTGTGTGTGTGTGTGTGTGTGTGTACTCTCTTGGGTGAATTCTTTACTTCTTGGGGGGGGGGGAGGTGTACGTTCTCTGTGCAGCACGAGACAAGCCCTTATTGTTCTATTGATCGAGTGAACGCCCTGGTTTGCCGTTCCAATCAGCATCGATCACTCTAAGGTCTTCTGATTGCGCGTGTCTCTTCTTCCGTTGACTAAATGCACTCGTCACTTGACTTATTGCACATCCCTTGCTGCTCCGTTGACTGTAATTGCATTCTTGCTTACGCAGATCACGTGCAGTCCTCGCTCTACTTATTACAAACAAATTCTTCTCTCTCTGAAGAACAAGCACATTCGACACGCCTCCTTTCCTTTCCCTTCACCTTCCTTCTCTTTCCTTCCCCTCCCTTCACCTTCCTCCCTCCCTCCCTGACGTGTAAGGCCAGCTAACACCTGTGGTCAAAAGCAACACCTGACAACACCCTTCCCACCTGTTATATGACTAAACCTTGTGCATTGGCAGAGTAACAAACAGGTATATTCAGTAATGTGAACAGTGATGGGGGTTACATCTCTCCACACATCTGTTTACACTTGGGTGTTTAACTAATCATGTAACTCTGGATTCTATTACAGGGAAAGGTCATATTTTTTTTTATCGGTGATGGGAACAGTTTCTTTATAACTCTTGTGAACAGGTTTAATGACTTCTTTTGCTCTCTTTCTTTCTTTATTCTTATTTTTTTAATCTTTTCCTCCGCCTCTCTCTCCTTCAGCTTCTTCGTGTACCTACCAATCACCTGTGTTCATACGTCACCGTCGAGTCATTTGCTTAACGTCTCTATATGGTCGTCAGTAAATACGATGCTCTATGGAAGAATCTGTCACTTTCTAGTTAGTTCACCTCTAATGCTTTTGGACGCTGTGGAATAAAATGGAATAATTTTATACTTTCTACGTAAACTAGTTCGGTACTCTGGAGCAATTGTGATAATATATACCCTTTAAATATTAGCCAATCATTCTGGTGTGTGTGTGTGTGAGAGAGAGAGAGAAAGAGGAGAGAAAGTGTGTGTGTGTGTGTGTGTGTGTGACAGAGAGGTCAGAAGCAATGCCGGGCACTGTTGAGGAAAGAGAAAGGGGAAGATCGATTTTTTGTTTCCTCTCTCCTCCTCCTCCTGCCCTTCTGCCCTCCTTGCCCCCAAAGAGCATTAGGACTTTTCCAACTAGAAGGATACACTAGAAACCTAACCTAACCTAACCTAACCTAACCTAACCTAACCTAACCTAACCTAACCTAACCTAACCTAACCTAACTTCTTCCTCAGCCTAAAAGCTAAAGATAACTTCAGTTCCTCCTCCTCATCACCTCTCACTTACCTTGGCCCTTTCTTCCCCAATTTTTCTTCCTTCGCTTCTTCCCTCCCCCCCCAACCCCCCCCCGCCCCCACCTCCTCCTCCTTCTCCCCCCCAGCTCACCACCCTAGTCCCCTTCTCTCGCCGCGTCAGTATAAATAATGCCGGGCTGGTCGACATCGGCACTTCGGCTGGGCTTCTCGTAGTGCTCGCTCCTACCCCTGGCTTATCTCAATACACTTGCAAGGTGGGTGTATCTACTGTGTTCTTGTTGTGCTGTGTTAAACTCCTCCTTACTCACCCAGTCTAATTATTTTATACCAGACAAAGATACGAAACTTTAAACGTATTTTATTCTGTTTGGGTGAAAATTATTATAAAAAAAAAAAAAATTAGCGACGTTGAAAACAAACTTACTTAAAGAACGTAAACTCAGCGAGGTGTTGGTATTAAAGTGTATGTGTGTGTGTGAAGATCAGAAACGATGATAAAAGTGAGAATAATCCATATATGTGATACATAGGTGAAGTTATCATCGTCTTCCTCCCGCCACACACCCAACTGGATTACATATTTTGTTATTCTTACGTTCAGCTCAAGTGTTGAAAAAAAAAAACCCAACCCTCGTCATGGGGTTTGTTTGACTGGTTTTAGTAACTGGTTTTATTGACTGTTTTTTATCAATTAAACCATCCGAAAGCTGGATCGTCTTTCTATATCGACAGTCGGAAGCGTTCTACATTACTTCCAGCTACGCAACAATACACCAATCGGAGCTATTCGTTACGCATGACTCTTATACGCTGTTACATTGTTAAACTTACGCGTGGTTATCTTACTCATCCACAACCAAGTGTTTGGAGATTATTTTGTTATCATTTAAAGAATAAAACCAAGTGGGTGAATATTCCCCACACATCTCCACCATACCTCTGTTTAAATGCGTATCTTCCTAAATGTGCATTTTGGTCTAGATGCTTTATTTAGTGTACAGTAGAAGCGTATCTCAATTACAGTAGGCCTACATATTACATTATCAAAGCCTATCTCAGTGCTTATGTCGCCTCAGTCTAAATGTTTCTTTATCTTCGTGTATATAAAAATGCGTAACCACGACGTTGCGGATCTCTAAATGGGTACGTATGCAAAGGCGCAATCCGTTCTCAATAACACTTTGATCGTTATATATATATTCATTACACGTGTCAGGGAGGGAGCCTTCCACTGGCATGACCTCAGCAACTTTTCCCCGGGATTCCACCGTCGAAAACCTCCTCTCACACACGCATTCTCTCTGCCATGCGCACACACATCCACCCAACACACACACACACACACACACACACACACACACACACTGTTAAACTGTACCTATGCGTCTTACTTATCACGTCTTGGTAATACTTCAGTAGATGTTATCCAGCAGTGTTCTCATTACAGCATACAACCCCCCCTTCCCCCCTGTCTCATTCCTAACTTTATCTATCGCTATCTGTGTCATTCCTAACTCTATCTATCGCTATCTGTGTCATTCCTAACTTTATCTATCGCTATCTGTGTCATTCCTAACTCTATCTATCGCTATCTGTGTCATTCCTAACTCTATCTATCGCTATCTGTGTCATTCCTTACTTTATCTATCGCTATCTGTGTCATTCCTAACTCTATCTATCGCTATTTGTGTCATTCCTAAGTTTATCTATCGGTGATTATCGTTATTCGTCACCCTATCTACAACCTTTCCATTTCCATTCATTTCTCTCTTTCTATTTAATCCCTTCCTCCCCACGCCCCCCTTTGCTCACGTCTCCCTCCCCTCCCGTCATCTCCCCTTCTCTCCTCCCTTCTCTGCATTTCCCTTTCTCTCCTTCCCTTCCTCACGTCTCCCCCTCCCCACGTCCCATCTCCCCAAACTTATTTTTGTATTTTTGCTTTTAATACTCTCCCACATGGCCTTTCCTCCCACCCACCTCCCACCCAACCCCACCCACCTTCCCACCCTCCTCTCACCCTCCTAAAACCCTATGGGGAGGGTGTAGCTGGTAGGATCAACGCCCCCCCTGGATAAACGACAAAACAACACAGACGCGAAGATCAACTTTTCCAACACTTTTAGCCACGAGAAATTTTCCTCTATTGGTAATTTTCGTTTAATTGATTTTTTTTTCTTTCTACGAGGTGATTTATTTTGGTTGTGTATTTCATCGTCTTTATCACGTAGTTATGAGTAGAGGTGTTATGAGTACAGGTGTTGTGAGTACAGGTGTTATGAGTACAGGTGTTATGAGTACAGGTGTCATGAGTACTGGTGTTATGGGTACAGGTGTTATGGGTACAGGTGTTATGAGTACAGGTTTCATGAGTACTGGTGTTATGAGTACAGGTGTTGTGAGTGCAGGTGTTGTGAGACTCTGGGGTGTGTCCAGTATTTACATCAGTTAGGAAGATGTGTGCTACCGAGTAGACATGACAGCCAAGCATCCCTCATGCTGACTCGCAGTGTGCACGAGGGGAGGTGCACGAGGGGAGGTGCACGAGTATGGGGTGCACGAGGGGAGGTGCACGAGGGGAGGTGCACTAGTATGAGGTTCACGGGGGTGAGGTGCACTAGTATGAGGTTCACGAGGGGAGGTGCACGAGGGGAGGTGCACGAGGGTGAGGTGCACGAGGGAAGGTGCACGAGCGTGAGGTGCACGAGGGTGAGGTGCACGAGGGTGAGGTGCACGAGGGTGAGGTCCACGAGGGGAGGTGCACGAGGGGGGTGCACGAGAGTAAGGTGCACGAGAGTGAGGTGCACGAGGGGAGGTGCACGAGGGTGAGGTGCACGAGGTTAAGGTGCACGAGGGCGAGGTGCACGAGGGAAGCTGCACGATGCGTTAGGTAAAAGTGCTCTTGAGCAAGCAACAACCAGGTCAGCGCCTCGCGGCTCATCTGGGCGATAAAGTCCTCGGGTCAGCCCACAAAGCATAGAGAAATTGCACAGAGGGAGCGGCGCGTGATTGGACTTTATTCCCAAATGAGTTGCCGAGACGCGGGGGTTCCAATCACCGCTGTTCTAACCTGTGGAATTTCTCTTTGCAGGATGTGGCGTTTGACGGCGACGCTGCTGGTGGCTGCCCTGGCCTCAGCAACTCCTCAGGGAGGATACTTGCCTCCTCGACCAGATCCCGTCTGTCCACCTGTCACCTCTGTCGTGTACGACACCCGCGTCCAGACCTCCGTCTACGTCCAGACCGTCAACCAGGTCAACACACAGTACATCACCACAACACAAGTCAGACAACAGGTGGTGCCAACTACATTCTACCAGACTCGAGTTGTTACTCAGGTTCGGTACCAGACCAGTGTGGTCCAGCAAACGTCGGTCCTTTATATTGACAGAGTAGTGACTCAGACGGTTCCAAGCCCACCCATCCAGCAGACCATTTACGTTACATCAACTCGCGTCGTACCGCAAGTTAGTTATGTGACCCGCACCCAAGTCCAGACCCAGGTGGTGCCTGTAGAGGTAACCCGCACACAGATTCAGACAATATACCAACCTGTGGTCAGTTACTTCACTCAGGTGGTGCAGCAGACCCGCGTGGTCTCCATCCCAGGCCCCGACATAGTACAGACCCGCTATCAAACACAGTACCAGACCTCCGTTGTGAGGCGCCAGGGACCAGGTAACACTCGCTACGTTACCTCGACGCAGTACCGGCAGCAGGTCCAGACCAGCTATGTCCGAGGCCAAAATGTTTACAGTACCTCCTACGTACAGCGCCAGCAGGTCATTCCCTACACTTCCGTCAACACGCGTTACCAAACTACTTACGTTACTCGAGAACAGGTGGTGACCAGGACCAACGTCGTCACCCAGACACAGGTCCAGACCCAGGTGGTCCCTCAGGAGGTGGTGCGAACACAGGTGGTGCCCACCACCATCTACACCACCCGTTACGAGACCAGGGTTCAGCCCTTCACTCAGGTACAGACGGTGGTCCAGACCCGGTATGTCACCCCCGCCCCTGTAGTCAAAACCCAGCAACAAGTGCAGACCTCAGTGGTCCAAGTGCCCGGTCAGAACCGAGTCATCACAAAACAAGTAGTTCGAACTCAACAACAACAGCAGGTGGTCTACCAGACCGTCAACCAACCACGACAGGTGACCGTCACACAGACCATCACCGCCACCTGTGGCAAGACCGGATACAACTACAACACTCCCGCCACCCCCTTCAACTACGGCAAATAATCTAAAATAAGTCATATGGTTGAGATCTAATTTATGTTATTTTGAATTTAGTTTAAATTCATCTACAAAAACGGAGAAAAATTAAAAGAGAATTTGTTTGTTTTTATCTTTTGAGTTTATGTGAAGACAGGTTGTCCCACTACTGACATGTACTGAAGTTCATTAAAACTTGGTAACGAAACTGTTGTGTTTTACCGACATTCCCTGAGCCAGTCACCTCCCCGAGTGTAAGTATAAATTGTTTACTCTCGTTCAACAAGCTGTGTTATAACATCACCTACTTATATCTGAATTAATCTGACTATATATTTCACCAGACACAATGTGGCCGCTGTTCCTGCTCCTGCTGCTGGGCTTCTCCCAAGGAAGCGCTGTGGACAGACCTCGTCGAGAGCTTTTAGGAAACGGCATTGGATTACAGTCGTCTCAGAACGGGTACCTGCCACCACAACGCGACTACTGTCGGCCCTCCACCATCTACCGCACACAGACCCAGTACTCCACCCAGGTCATCCCCTCCACCGTCTACAACAACGACGTACAATACGTCACCCAGACGTCCGTCCGCACACAGCAGGTATACACCACTGTGTACTCTGAGGTGGTCCGCACCCAGGTGGTGCCCTCCGTCCAGTACCAGACAGTGACTGTGACCCGCACCGAGCAGAACGTCCGCACACAGGTCGTCACTCTGCCACCACAAGTCAACTACGTCACACGTACACAACAAGCTGTGACGACACAGGTACAGTACCAGACCAGATACTCCACCAGCATCCTGCAGGTCCCAACAACTGTTGTCAGGAATGTTGTTTCTACACAGGTGGTTCCTCAGCAGGTGGTGAGCACCGTCTACCAGACACAGTTTGTCACCAGGACCCAACAGCTACCTGGACAGACCCGTACCGTGGACCGTACTCAGTACAGCACCATTTACTCCACCGTGGTAGTACCTGGCCAGGACGTGGTAAAAACACAAAATGTTGTGAGGACCAACGTCATCACCCAGACCGTCACACAGCCAGGCCAGACCCAGGTCATCACCTCCACCAATGTGGTTCCCGTCACCACTACCATCTTCTCCGAGGTGGTGGTCACCAACACCCAGACACAGTACGTGACGCGCACCCAGGTACAGCAGCAGGTGACCACCGTCTACCGCACACAGCAGGTGCCACAGTACGTCACCAGGACCGTCACCGTCCCCCAGCAGGTGGTGAGCACTCAGGTGTCAACACAGGTGGTGCCCACAACCATCTACAGCCAACAGGTGGTACCAACTGTGGTCAACCTGCCCGCCGAGACCAGGTACACCACAGTGTACCGCACCTCCGTCCGCACCCAGCAGCTACCGGGTCAGACCCGCACCGAGTACCAGACCAGCGTGGTCTACAGGACCAACTACGTCACCTCCACAGTGTTCAACCAGCAGTACAACACCGTGACGGCCACCAGGACCTACCAGCCAGACTGTAACACCGGCTACAACTACAAGGAACCTGCCCGACCATTCGACCCCTATGGTCGTTAGTCTTACCAATATCACAACTAGGGGGAGAATGATAAACTTGTTGACAATATCCTCCATGTGGGTAGCCATGTTAATATTTGTAAGCGAATGAAGTGTCAGTAAAACGTGCAGTTATATTTAACGTTTCGTTCATACAAGTTGAGAGAATATCACTATTTAAAAATTATTGTTGTCTTTGAATAAAACGGATGATTCTGATGCCTCAACTCACTCTTGAGTATCCTGAAGCAGCTTCATGTTCATCTTATAACAACAGAGAGACAGTAATGAACATATTTTACTGAACATGGCAGAGTTAGTCTCTCTCTTTTTCTTCTAGGGAGGAAGGGATTTATAACAAAAGCCAAAGGTCCAATACCTGTAGTACATCGTGTAATCCCTTAATTAAGTTGTAGACTGTGTTAAACTCATCAGGTAATAACGTCAGGTTCCAATTATATCCCCGCCCCTTGCAACTGTCAGCAAACTCTGGGGTCTGGACAATCTGTAAAACACGTTTGGTGAGAATTTATGAAAGAGAGTTCTCATATTAAGAGGTATTTGAACACACGCACACACACACTATACCGTACCATCGACCTCCTGTCAGCCTTGAGGTGGTGAAAGGCTTGTATAGATACGAGGGTGTAATTTCAGAAAGAGAATTGAAGATCTTAATGTTTTTGATTCACTGATGGTTCTTAAGTCGGCGAACGCTCTATACAGGCACAGATGAGTCTTAATTTGGCGGAGGGTCATTATTTTCTCGGATCATCTTTGTTTTCACCCGGTAATCATTTCATTTCACTAATTATATTTACTTTCACAAATTTTCATTAATTTCGTGAGTGACAAATATTGTTATTGTGTCCTAAAGAAGTTCCACAACACCGATCACTAACAAATTATTATTCCACTATATAGCGTTATCACGAACACGATAATGCAGTCATAAAAATAATATACATTATATAATAGTCTTCCCTTTACCTATCAGAACGTCTCCATTTTCTACCGGAACTTCGTTTTCTTTGCATCTTGTGGAAAATGACAAACACACACAAACATATACACAAATATGAACAAAAAGCATCAATATCAACACATTTACATGACTTAAATATTAATAAAAGAAAATATATAAGTTATGAAATGTGATGCTCCAACTCTCAAGACCAGCACAGGAGTAAGAGTTATAGCTACAATAGGCTACACACTCACTGTTAAAAGAGTTTGGCCTTTGTGAAAGTAAAACCAGTTTGTTCCAATATTTAGGGTGTGACACTGGGACTTTGTATTCATTTTGCCTTTCCCAGTGCAATAACCTGCTTCTTCAATTTTCATGAGAGGGAGAGAGAGAGAGAGAGAGAGAGAGAGAGAGAGATTCAATTATGAGTAACATGATACAAAAATAAAAGAGAAAATAGACAAAGGAATAAAATATTGAAAAAAATAAATAAAAAAAATATAAAGAAAAAATTAAGACAAACACGAAATAAGATTAAGAAAGAAACAGAGAGAGACGAGAGAAGGAGAACAGGTGAAAATGAAAGTGACAAAGACTAATACGGAGAGAGAAACCGGTAAAGAAACATAATAAATGAGAGACAAAGAAAAATAAACTCACAGATGATTAGAGAGATTTTGAAACAGAAATCAAATAAACGAATAAGAGAAAGAGATAGAAAGGAAAGAAAAAAAGAAGGAAAATAAAGAACTAAGACTACAACAAATAGAATAAAAAAATAAAAAAAATATATATATGAGGAAAGTAAAGAGAGAGAGAGAGAGTAAAAACAAGTAGAAAGAGAGGAGGAGGAGAGAGATAAATATAGTAACAGCCACGAGAGGGTTACATTGTGGTCACGTCACCAAGACCATCACCAATGATACACCACACTTCACCTTCCTTCCCACACAAATGATGATGATGTAAAATGCTCTCTCTCTCTCTCTCTCTCTCTTCTCTCTCTCTCTCCATGTTTCTCAGTCTTCCTCTATGTATACACCTCACACTGACACTTATATTATACATTTCACACTATACATGTCTCATACTGTATACATGTCTCACACTGTATACATGCCTCACTGTATACATGTCTTCACACTGTATACATGCCTCACACTGTATACATGCCTCACACTGTATACTGTCTCACACTGTATACATGTCTCATACTGTATACATGCCTCACACTGTATACATGTCTCACACTGTATACATGCCTCTACACTGTATACATGCCTCACACTGTATACATGTCTCACACTGTATACATGCCTCACACTGTATATATGTTCACACTGTATACATGCCTCACACTGTATACATGTCTCACACTGTATACATGCCTCACACTGATATGCCTCACACTGTATACATGCCCTCACTGTATACATGTCCTATACTGTATACACTATACTGTACACAACCTGCCCTAAGCACCCTTGACCTCCTCCACCCCATTACTGGTATATATGTGATGTTCTTGCTGGTGTTTGTTATTGTTTATTTATTCACCGCCAGGATCTTAGCGGTTCTTGCTCTTCGTAGTTAAATGGACTAAAGGTTAACAATTAATAAATCAATGTTTTCATGTCCAATGTATTTTTTTTTCTCGCAAGGAACTTCATGTACTTACTTATGTATTTAATTTTATTTTATTTTTCAATATTGAGTTTTTGGTGCTTTTATATTTATTTCCTATTTTAGGTCAGAGAGAAGAGAGAGGATGTGGTATTGTGGTAGTGCCTCCTGTGGTAGTACCTTCAATGGTGGTGTCTCCTGTGTGTGTGTGTGTGTGTGTGTGTGTGTGTGTGTGATACACTATGAGTGGGCAGGCAGGTTGGGGCAGGCAGGTGGGTAGGTGGGTGGGTGGGTGGGTGGGTGCCTACCATCGCTGTGTGATCACAATCTTTCAGTGAAGGGCCATTGGAGAAACCCTAGACAGAAAATCGTCTGTGGGAAGATAATGGATTTACCCCTGCAGTCAACTGCTCTGGGTAACACATAAATATAAAGATCCATTAAAACGCGAATGACGGAATAAGCGGAAGAGATAACCAACATGGGAACCCAACGATTACAACACCATATGAAGACAGTACAAGATGGACACTGTACAGGCTAGTAAGACGAAACCCAATAAACTGAGCTATCGGCAGTCCATTGCAACTCTCCCTTTCCTCGTTGTTGCAGCTATCTACGACCTGAATCAGGAACGGAGAGCTAAGATGCGTGGTTGCAGCCTGCGCTACATCCTCACCGCGTAGATAAACTCACGCACAGTCATCATCCAGCTCATGATACATTTCATCATCATCAGAACCCTTATACTCCCAAAAGTCCTCTGGCGACAGACGGGGACAGGCAGAGATGACTGCTGGGAGTCTCTAGTCACAACTCTGCACATGGGCGGCATAGATAAGATGGTCGTTTATACACTGGGATTTAGGCAGCAGTGCAATCCGGTCCTGTCTGTGAGACTGAGCAGCCCTTTCGAGGAGCCGCTCTGCTGACCCCACATGGGGAGGGAACTAGAAAAGGTGTTTAAACATAGCCTGCCTAAAGAGTCAACCTGACTGGGCAACCGCACCAAGTAACGTGATCCTTATACAGTCAAAAACATCACAAGAGAACGAGGCAAAAACAAACTATGAAACCTCTTATGGATGGAATGTCAGGACCCTTCTGGATACTGGCACAAATGAGCGTGGCAAAAGAACTGTCTAGGTATAACATCGACAAACCAGCCATTAGTGAGTCCCGGCTCCCAGACGAAGGTCGACTCACAAGAAGGAGGGGGGCAGCTATACCTTCTTCTGGAAGGGTAAGCTGTGCTGTGGAGAGAAATTGCATTTACGGAGTTGGTTTTGCCAGTCACCAATCCATCCTACACAGGCCTGTTGAGATCAACGAGCGTCTCATGATGCTCAGAGGCCCACTGAATCACTCACGTCATGCCTTCTTCATCAATGCATACTCCCCAACACTGGATGCAGAGGATGACATCAAGGAGGCCTCTTATGCCGACCTTAAGAGCGTGCTAACTTCTATCCCCAGAGAAAATAAGGTTGTGCTCCTAGGTGACTTCAATGCCATAATTGGCAGAGATGCTGACATATGACAGGGAACCATTGGGAGAATTGACTATGCAAGTGTAATCCCAACTGCCTACTCCTCCTCAGCAAGTGTGCTGCACACAACCTCACTATCACCAACACCTTGTTTAGGCAGGCCGACAAGTTCAAGGGATCTTGGCAACACCCACAATCCAAAGATTGGCATCACATTGACTACATTACTGCCAGAGAAAGAGATCGCTGACTGTCCTCATTACTCGAGCCATGCGTGGCTCAGACCACTGTGACACTGATCATCGGCTCGTCACAGCCAAACTCTCCCTTTACGTTGTGTCAAAAAAAGCGAAAGCAACAAGCCTCCAGAAGCGGTTTCAAAACCAATCGACTGAAGGATCCAGCAGTAACACATGCTTTCAGAGAACAGCTAGACGATGGGCTGATAAAATAACCCGACAACAAATAACCTGATTCCGAGTGCCGAGTGGGGTATCCTGAGAGGTGTCATCACAAAAACCTACATCGACACCCTCGGCCACATCAGCTAAGAAATCGACGTACTTCTCTAAGGTAAACAAGCTGCCTTCATTTACTGGTAAAACAACCCCCAGTCAATACTTTCCGCCGGCAGAAGTGAGGTGAATAATGCCCTCTCACTGTGCCTCAACAAATCACCACTAAGGGCCAGTCATCTAAAAAATTGTAACACTGCAACTGAACACAGGCATGAAAAAATATAGCAAGTCACATACAATACACCTCCGGTATGTTGGAACCCTGTCAAGTAGAGGAGCGAAAGAGACCATATATGAGTAGCTGTCGTCATCCCGGAGACTAATATTAACCTCTCGGGTGATGACTATGTAAGAGAGGATGTGATCTAACTACTCCTTTAACTGAATGTTGAAAAATTATACACGAAGAATAAAAATATTGCTCAAACATTGCTATTCACATGATCATATATAGACCTGTTAAAGTCCCCACCTCCCCCACCTCCCCCCGCACCCTGGCCTTGTTCACTGTCATGGAGGAAACTGATGTATGGGAACTGATCTTCAAGCATCTAAGCACAAGAAGTTCTTTTGACAATGATATATTTCTCTACTACTCTCCGCTCAACAGGCCATCTTTAA